GTATTATATGGGACAAGGGGTGTAATAAGACACCTTTTTTTCTGAGAGTGACTCAACAGCTATTTATTAAACAACGTGCGCGACCTGCTCGAAAAACGAAACCGAAAGAAGATGAGTCGGGAGGGCGAAAGCTTCCTCCCGTCTACTTGGAGAAGGAGAAAAACGTTTCGTTCCTCCCCTTTTCTCGTGTCCGTTTGGGGGCGCGTCAGTAGAAGGGAGGAAGACGCGCCGTTGCTACTTTTTTCCTCCAATTTATTCTTAGAGTGTAGAGCCATTGTGTTCGTCGCTGAAGGTTTTCTTTTTTCCGTCGGGACGGTAAAAAGCTTCTCCCCTCTCGCAACGCTGTTCGTCCAATCCACAGCGCAGCCAAATGGCATCGCGTTCACGCCGCCGTAATCCTGGTACAAAAAAAAAAAAAAGAACCTACGGCCGGTCTGTAAGGAAGGAGCCACCACCGTACCTCACACGAAAATGGCGCCGGTTCAGAGCAGACGACAGAATCGCGCGGAATCATGGGAAGGTAACGGTCACGTGTCGCGTTCGTGAAAGAGAAACTTTTAGAGTAAGAGAGGGCATGGGTGAGGAGGAATTTCTCTTCCCATTTCAGACAATGTTTTGCGCTACCTTTCATTATTTAGAAACATAAGTGTTTTATACAGCAATCCAAGTGCCGCGCGAGCATTTTCTCTGACGCTGATCCACCTATTGTGTTAAATTACGCACGTGAACATTGGCCACGAAGTCTCCTATTGATCCTGTTACCGTATATACGTTTTTAAACAAAAAGGGGGCATTGGGTTTAATATAAGGGACGGAAATTTAATACATCCCTGGTCTGCAGTCCCCAGAACCCAGAGCAAGTACGATCATTCAGATAACCACAACAGCATATAATTTAATCACAATATATGATGAAAAGAAGATCGACTAGTATTTATCATGCCCCATAAAGACAAAACACAATAAAGAAATTAGGGTAAAGTGGGATAAAATGAGACGCGGGACAAAGTGCGCCTGCCTGTGTTTAGCGCCATCCATCTGCTTGACTAGCAATTGGAGTACGTTCAAACTTCACCGAGAGGTGCCGTGACCTCTACGCTTTGCGTGTAATAATATTAGAATATTATAGCTGTCCGCAAGAGTGTTTTGGAGAGAAAAAAATGCGGAGTTGAGGTTGAGCCAAAAAGGCACAAATTGATCGTGGGGTTTAGCTTCGATACGTGCACCCCGGTTGGCACGGACTATTCTGCCAAGGTAAGCTTTAATTTTATTTGTATGCTTTATAAGCTTCATGCGGACCCTATTTGAGCGAGCTGTGGTTGCCTTCTTTTAAGAAAATAATTATTTACGTAACGGGATACGCGCGGGTCAAAACGCGACGATCTGGCATTCTATGACCCGCATGTTAATGTTGCACGAGTCTCCTGGTTGCTCCCGAGCCATATTCTTTTTCTCCCAGTTTCTAGGAAGGTCCGAACGTATAAAAAAAAAAAACATCATGGGCTTCATAGCGCGAAAGTGACATGAACAAAGCTCTTGAAAGTGTCAAGCAGCAGTGTCACTCCCATCGCACTGCTGCCACACACTTCTGGGAGTACCGAAGGATGCGTTTCAAAAGAAAACCAAACAACTCGGGGGATTTCAAAAAAAAAAAAAGAACGTTCCTAGAAAAAAAAAAAAAAAAACGTTCCTGCAAAAAAAAAAAAAAAAAAGATTGCGAAAAGTTTTTTTTTCTTTCTTTTTTTGACGTTTTAAGTTAAGTTTGGCGTTTTAAGTTAAAATTTTTTTCTTCTATACCTAACGTAGGATGGAAAAAAGGAGCAAGCAAGTCCGAGAGCTGCACTGCTCTAGCGTCATCTTCCCACAAGGTGAAGGGGATGTTGGCAAAAGAACCGAAAGACCGGCGTTCCACCCTGCCCTCCCTCCCCCTCCCTCCCCCCCCCCCTTGCTTTAAAAAAAATATAAAACAAAAGAGAAAGGTTATTAGTGTTGAGCGTTCTGCAGACAGTGCAATGCACATCACAACAGTGCCAGGTATGCAAAGAACTTTGGAGCCAAACTGCCCCGCATACAGTATGGATCGAGCGCATGGAACGCACGTAGGCGGCTCATAAAGAGTGCGTTGGAGCTGACACATGTGTTTCAAGTGTTTTAGAGCGCAGCTCTTAGGCGCCCGTTTCCGGCTTGAGCGGCGTCGGCGTCGCCGTCGCCGTCGGCGTAACCAAGGTCACCCTAAGGTCACGTGACCCCCAAGGTCACGTGATTTCTCCCAAGGTCACGTGACCCCCCGATATCACGTGGCCCCCAGGTCACGTGGCCCCCCTCCCCGAGGTCACGTGACCCCCCCCCCCTCCCTAAATCATGCGACACCCCCCGAGGTCACGTGACCCCCTCCCCCGAGGTCAGGTGACCCCCCCGGAGCATATTAAAGAACGAGGGGAGGAGGAGGAGAAGGAGAAGGAGGAGGAGGAGGGGCCTACCCTCCCCTCAGTACCCTTCCCTCCTCCTCAATAGCTGCGCTCCAATTCGGCGTTAAGGGCCACCCACACTAGCGAGAAAACGCGCGTGGCACGCCGATCGCGGCAAGTAACAAAATGTCGCCGAAGCACAGTCAGCGCCACGTGCGCGTGCAGAGACACGCCCTTTATCTTGCCGCTTAACCGATTTATCGGCGCGCCGGGCGCGTTTTCTCGCTAGTGTGGGTGGCCCTTTACAGGGAGTGGTAAACGGCTTTCACTTTTTTTTATTCCGAAAACTGAACGCATATCAGATTTTCTGTGTCTCATTGTACCCACTACGTTGTCTCATTTTGCCCCACAAGGCGGGACAAAATGAGACAATGTGTGACTTTCAGATATTCTAGTTTTGTTTAATATTTTTCCGTTGCTCCAATTAAGTAATATTTACCGAGCATAAAATCAAGACATCTCAAAATATCCCCATGCTGTGTTTTATTATAAATTAAAGCAAAAATAAAAATTGTCATTGAGATGAAAATGTTTCACCTCATCTTGGCCCACCTTACCCGTAAACGTGCCTCACTCCTACGAATGAAGTCTGGAGACACTACATCTGCATTGTATTTTGAGCAGCACAGGGTATGTTCTTTGTTTTTGTTTTATTTTAACACAATATATATAAGCCCAGCTTAAGCGGGAAGCGTTGCCCAACTAAATATAGCACGAAAACTGAATTAGTGTACAATTAAACACACATTTAAGTTTTCCCTCTAAATATAAATGTGCAATTTTTATCAAACCCTAGACCCCCAAGCACATTTTTGTATTTTCAAAACTACATACATTTGCTGAAATAGCGAAATAGCGCGGTGGCAGAACACCCTCCCGAAGATTTTTTTTTTGTACCTGCTCAAGAGCAACTAGTACATATCCTCACGCAGCAAAATGATCGGATTGCACCACCCCATCATGTTCACGTATGTATACAGGCATCCTTGACAGAAGTCTCAAAACACCACGAACAGAATACCATATTTTGAGCGTCTCACCATGATCGCCGAAATGCTGACTCGGGGACAGCCCCGAGTCAGTCAGGAACCCCGGGGTCAACTGGATGTAGTGCCCCCTCTGGCCGCATCCGCGAGGCTGAATCGTGAAGATTGTTTCCGCGTCTGAACCAGTGTCTACCACGCGGACGTCGGCCGTCCCGAACAGGCTGTCGCCCGTCACCAGGGCCCGACTCCTCCTCGGCCACGTCCGTGGCACCACCACGGTGACCTCCTTGAAGTACAGCCGCCCCCTGGTGGCGACGTGCAAGAACTCGGACGCCGACCTGAACAGCGCCTGCTCACACGAGCAACGACGGGGAATTGAATTAAATTTCCTGACCGTTACGTGCAGGCAAAAGCCTGGGGTCAGGTAGATTTCCACGGGAACCATCTTTTTTGTTTGGCTGTGAAAATCGTTTCTGCGCTGCACAGCGGCTGGCCGAGAATTTTTTTATCACAGCAGCTGTTAGGAGAACCCAATATCAGCTGGTTAGTAAATGTATGCTGAGCGCGAGTTCGTCTGCTTCTAGAGCAGGGGTTGCACCGACGTCAGAACTACGAGCTTTTATTGATTTTGATAGAGGGATAGACCCCAATGCTAGCTACCTCAATATCATTCCGATCGGAGTCTATCAGAGCTCGGGCTTTTGACGTCACCGCAACCCCTCCTCAAGAAGCAGACGAACTTGCGCTCCGAATAGGTACACGTATGCCTGTCCAGCGGGTGTGGCAACTCGGCCTAACAAGAGAGTAGACACTTGGCGATTCCATAGAGTGTGTATAATGATGCGACACGCACCGCTTCATCTCATGTCCGAGCCATCGCAACGATCTGGAGGAACCAAATGTGCAGTGCCGAATGTGCATTTTCATGGCGTTCATGGCCTTTGCGCTTTCGCTATCCACGACCAAACCAATCGCGCACAGTGAACGCGCCGCGATCTTGCACTTGTTTTGTTTTTTCCTGTGTGACTGGTTCATCCGCTTATAGCAAACGCACAAAGACAAGGGGTGCCGTGACGATACTCTTTTGGCGCAGCTTGATCGTAGCATCGGCTGCGGTCCAACGTAATATAGACCGACACGCGGGCTTGACGTCACTGAGCTGCGGTGGCGCTGCTGTCGATACTGCGCATGCGCAGACGCTTCACAACTTCAGAGTTTGGTTTTTGCGCAGGCGCAGTGCCCACACATGGTAGGGGTGCACACAGGATTCTTTGTTATCTCTCTGTTCGTGTATTATAGGGCACTGCGTAGAGTGAAAAACGTAATAAAAAATGGGACTATTCCCCTTCCAGGCGCTTATCACTCGGACAAAAAAAAAATGTTGAGTCACCGGGTGGTGGAAGCCTGCGTGGTGCCTGATATTCCCCAGAGAACCGTGCTACACCTTCACATGCTAAGAAAACGTTCCAAAGACAAGTATAGAAACAGAAAAGATAGCAGCGTGCAGAAGGCGGTCTGTGCAGTATACGATAAGGCGTTGACCAACCTTGATATTTTCCACGATGTATGGATGGTGTTGCACGGACTCGTGAATGGCGACCACTATCCCCGTGTAGCCGCCATCGCCAGTGTCGACGTGTAGGGCTGCCGCTGGAGCAAGCCCGAAGAACGCCAGTACGGCCATGAACAGCATCCTGAAGACGGGAGTCACGGTCCTGGAAAAACGTGTGGACCGTTTCAATGATCGCCTTCGGTACGCCGCCATCTTTGTGCTCTGGGTTGTGGAACGCGGTTCGTGCATGCGTTTGCAACCCTGTTCGATGCAATACCAGACACTGCGCAACCCTGCACAGCTGAGGAACTCGACCATCTTTGTAGGGTCTCCGACTGGTACGTTTACCGCGTCCAAAGAAAGGGGTCCCTCGATTTACGCCCGATGACGTCATAGAAGTGTCATGCCGTCGCTGGTCGCGATCCTGGTGATGTCCCAGCAGCCTTGGTGGATGTGGCAGACGCCTGTTTTGCTGCAGGTCGCACTCTTGCGTGACAGACCTTAAACAGCCAGGAGTTGGGACGCCGCGACAACAGCGACACCAGCGACACTCGCGTTCGCTGGTGATTTTCGCTAGCAATTCGACGGTCAATCACCAGAATTGCGACATCCGACAGCAAGAGACTCCGGCTTCTGTGACGTCATTTGTTGCCACTTCGGGACCACTTTTGACGCTAAACACACCAGTCGGAGACCCGTTCCAGGCTCCATGCCCAAGTGTTCGGCCCAAAGCCACTAAACAAGCTACGCTTCGAAGTAGCCGCACTTCAGCCATCTTCTTGCTTAAAATTGCTGGTGCCAGTTATAGGAAATTTGATGTGAAATTGCAGGAAACGCTTTTTCGTAATTCAGAAATCTGTAAAACAGTTCACGACAGAGCTAAAGGTATCGCCAAAGCCTCCTGATACCGTATCTGATGTTCGGGAATTCTTGTTTTTAAATGTCAGCACCAGTGGGTGTCTGCTTTCTACAGTCTGGGTACAATTTTTTTTAACAATATCAAGCGAGTGTCGACCGCCGGGACGGCTAGTGCCGTTCCGCGGAGGCGTGCGGCGATACGGGAGAGATTAAGCGCGTGCGCACAAAGCCCTTTCTGGTTGGAGTGTCGTCTGCTAGGCTATTTCGTTGATCGCACACAGCTCCTGCACCGTACCAAAGGAGCCCAGGGCGCTTGCAATGTCGAGGTGCATCGCCGATACGCCCCTCCTCTTGGAATGCGTTCACAATACTATTGACGGTGGCCTTGTTTAACCCAGATTGTTGTTGCTATATCCCTTTGCGTCACGCCGCCCGTCCACATTCTCGCAACACGTCCCCGTGTTTCTATGGGCATTCAAGGAGGCATAAAAATGTGCGCGCGCCCGCTGGTCAAAAAAAGTGTGACTACCATATGTGACTACCCGGCTACATAAGCTAGATAACGACAGTAACAACGCAGTTGATAATACAAAACACCCAAGTCGAAACCCTGTCTGTACTCCCTTTTACTTTGTGTTGTACCGCAGCCGACACTACGAGCCATCTTGACCAGTCCATCGCTAAATGTGTGTCACGTGGCCTTCCCGTTAGGTACACCTGCACGTGGAAGCACGATGTCTCGTGGCAGGGTGAAAGCACTGGATTGGTTTTTGGAGGCTCGTAGCATTGGCTGCGGCGTGTAGTTTAATTCATCGTTTCATCCAGTTTGTCGCTTCACCGCAGTTTTTATTTTGCTGGTGCTCAGAAAGTAAATGCAAACATAAAATGAAAAAAAATGAAAGCCGCTTACAACTCCCTGTAACACCGAATTAGAGCGCAGCTCTTTAGGAGGAGGAGGGAAGGGCACTGGGGGGGGGGGGGGGGGGGGGTTAAACTAACCAGGGGGGGGTCACGTGACCTTGGGGGTCACGTGACCCCCAATGCCGATGATGTCATCACTGACGTCACTGATGACGTCATCAGTGACGATGACGATGCGGGTACCGATGACGTCATTAGTGACGTCACTGATGACTTCAGTGACGATGACGATGACGATGCGAATGTCGGTGACGTCATCAGTGACGTCGCTGATGACGTCATCGGTGATGATGACGATGACGATGCGGATGCCGGTGACGACATCAGTGACGTCACCGATGACGTCATCAGTGATGATGACGATGACGATGCGGATGTCGGTAACGTCATCAGTGATGATGACGATGACGATGCGGATGCCGGTGACGTCATCAGTGATGATGACGATGACGATGTGGATGCCGGTGACGTCATCAGTGATGATGACGATGACGATGTGGATGCCGGTGACGCCATCAGTGATGATGACGATGACGATGTGGATGCCGGTGACGTCATCAGTGATGATGACGATGACGATGTGGATGCCGGTGACGTCATCAGTGATGATGACGATGACGATGTGGATGCCGGTGACGTCATCAGTGATGATGACGATGACGATGCGGATGCCGGTGACGTCATCAGTGATGATGACGATGTGGATGCCGGTGAAGTCATCAGTGATGATGACGATGACGATGCGGATGCCGATGACGTCATCAGTGATGATGACGATGACGATGTGGATGCCGGTGACGTCATCAGTGACGATGACGTCATCGGGGGTCACGCGACATCGGTGGGGGTCACGTGACTTCGAGGAGGGGGTCACGTGACCTCAGGGGAGTCACGTGACTTCGGGGGGTCACGTGACCCCCCACGAGGTCACGTGACCCCGGTGGGGGGCTCGCGCGGTGCATTATGGGACATTTCCCATGATGCACCGCGCGGTTACGCCGACGGCGACGCCGACGGCGACGGCGACGCCGCTCAAGCCGGAAACGGGCCCCTAAGAGCTGCGCTCCAAAAAAGAAAAACTAAATAAAACTCGAGATGACGCACGGTTTATGCCACTCCTGAGCAGTGTCACGCAAGCAAGTGCTCTTCAGATCTTCGCTTAAACGCGGTTAGCGCTGCCAGCAGATAATGAACAGGGGCCGTGTACGGTCAACGGAACAGCCTAGCAGACGATGCTCGCACCGGAAAGGGTTGTTGTGCGCACGCGCCTAATCTCTCCCGTGTCACCGCACCCCTCCGCGGCACGGTGCTGGCCGTACCGGCGGTCGACGCTCGCTTGACATTATTAAAAAATTGGGCCACTGTGCAATACAAAACTTAGCTAGTAAACTACGATAGCTAGCACGAACGTACGCCGGTACGATGCTCCTCCATGTTGAAACGGGCAAGGGAGGGAATCGACCTATCTCACCAAGTGTACGGCGCATGCGTGACGTCGCCATAACTTCAGTTCACACGAGGCAACGTTACTAGATTCGATCAGTTACGGAACTGCCCATAGACGCTGCTTTAACGCTGCTTGCACGAGCACTAGGCCCCCCCCCCCCCCCTCCACCCCCTTCCTTTGCCCCTAAGGCTCGGCTCCCGTTGTCCCCACGGCTCGACCCCACGGCTCGACTCCAGTCATTCGACGCGCCACCGGTTTGGGGATGTATACTATGGTAATTGCAGTGTATTCTCTATGGAATGCATATATTTTGATGCACAGCGTCTAGATGCCGTTTCACCGTACTCTATGGAATGCACGGTTTTGCAAAGACGACCTAGAAGGCGCTTCAAACGACGGGAGGCGGACTGAAGTGAGTGAGTGGGGTACCCTCCCCCATGGACGTTCCAGAACTGACCTAATCTACAGGGTCCGATCAAGAAAGTTAAACCCCGCTTATTAGTTCGCACATATAAACTACGCTTCGAGCATGCACTTACGTGGATCAAGAGTTAAAAGAAAATAGGGACTGGGGCACTAAACTCGTCAAACACAAAGTTGGAGCCCAAAGTTTGCGATTGGACGCTGGCGACAAAAGCGCGAAGTCATCGTCATGATAGTCCAATCGGCGCGCTCTCTGAACTTTGGCCCCGGCCTTGAGTTTGACGTGTTTAGAGACCCTGATCTCTACGAGCAGACACGACCCCAAGAGTTGAACAATCGCGTCTGCTTTGCATCGCGTCGCATAGATGGCGCCACCACTTCATTAATGTCATAGCCACTCGTTTTGGTTTAGTTTTGGCGGCAACACAAAATTGTTGTTCAATACTTTTTGGTGCGTTACTTACACACTGCTTTTTTTATTTTAACCAAGACAAATAAAATAATATGTACACTGTAATCATTTATAAAAATAATTATTCTAGCAGATGCTGACTGCTTTGCTTTCCCTTCGGGAACCCAGACACTGGTCCCCCGTTCATCGCTTTTATGTTCCGCCGTGTTGCGCTGGGCTTTCGTGCCTGATGAGGCAACTAACTCAAAAGCGATGCACGGATGTCGTGCTGTGGTAAGCGCCGTTCACACTCTTGCAACCGAGTACGACCGAGAGAGACCAGACCGGTTTTTAAGCCTTTTGCGATCTCTTAGGACCAGCTCCGCGGCAGCGGAGCTGGTCCTAAGAGATCGTAAGGGGCTTAAAAACCGGTCTGGTCTCTCTCGGTCGTACTCGGTTGCAAGAGTGTGAACGGGCCTGTACTCAGAAGAAAAAAGCTTCAAAAGATTCGCCGTCGATACCGACGCGAACGTACAACTTGTAGTCGATGCCGACTACAAGTTGCAAATATTGCATCTGTTGAAGCCTCATGAGACTATATATGAGGGAAGGCCGGACTCCTGCTGTAAAGAGATTCTGAGGATCGGGTCCAAACCTTCCCATCTGGACCATCTGGACATCAAGACGGAGAGGTCAGCTCACAAAACTGCCGTTACTGGAGCAACAGCAGCCCGGACTGGATATTCGAGAAGGCCACTCTCCCGAAGTCTCCGTCTTGTGCAGTATCTAAAAAGAAAATGTTGTAGGGCCCTTTTCTTTTTTCTTTTCTTTTCAAGAGTCAGTGACGGACAGAAGTTATCTGCGTATGCTTAAGGAAGTCTTTCTTCCCGATTTGGAGGCGTTCCATATGCAACGTCAGGTGTGCACAATTATGCAAGATGGAGCGCCCCCGCACTTGTGGACCCCCGTCAGGTAATGGCTGACCGACACGTTCCCTGAACGTTAGATGGGCCGAAGATCGTCCAGCATGCCATGGCCACCACGATCCCCAGACATCACGATCTGCGACTTTTTTGTGCAGGAATTAACCAAGTATCATTT